GAAGTGGGGCTGTAAGGAGCATGGACTGTTTCTTCCCTCTTCGCCCTTGGTCCTCCTCTGCACCTGTAACAAGGAAGGCCCATCCTTAACCCATGCTGCAAGAGAACGGTAGTGATAACAATATTGTGAAATAGGCCATGAATGAGGCAAAATAGCACTTCCCCAAATAATGAAAAAGAGTTTTAAAAAGAGTCACACGGAACCCCTGATCAGCAAACACAGTAAAAAAAAACTGTACTCGTTAGTCAAAGAATCATCAACTTAGAACTGACAGAAACAAGAACTCTCTTCCCTAGTTTAAAAATGAGACCTAAATCTCTGCATATTAGAAGTATTTTGGGAAGCACTGGTGAGGCAGCATAGAGGCAAATTCCCTTGCAGGAAGTTAGCCATGATCTTAGAACAGTGGAGACAAACTCAAGGCCCAGGAGTCGGATCCGGCCCATGGGGTACTTAGATCTGACACACGGTGCTGCTCTGGAAACCACAAATGACCGGTCCGCAGTACAGTGGTGGGTTATTTTACTACCAGCTCGCTTATACGCACATGCACACTCATGCAACGCTTCTGCGGGTGCAGGCAGGTTGGCAGAGCCTCTCATCGCTGCCATTACCAGTTCTCCCAATCCAGGGTGAACTGGCAGAAACCCACCTCTGCTGCGGTACCTCTAACAGTGAAAACAGAGCTGGGGGGGGCTACGTGCAACCCTTCTGAGCTCCATTTTCACTAGAAGAGGATTGCAGGAGGCCATTGAAGCTGAAAACGGAGCTCACAAGGACCATTCGCAAAAACTCTGTTTTCACTGACAGGGGGTTACAGGAGGCTGTCGCAGCTGAAAACAGAGCTCAGGAGCCCATTTTTGCTGGCAAAGCGCTCGAGCCACCAGAGGTGCCCACCCTGTCTTAGAAGATCTGAGGCTCTGGATTGAGAAAGACCAAACTGGGAGTGGTTTGTGTTGTGGCCCAGCAGGATCTGGTTGAGCTGCTGATGGACTCGGATAGCGAGGAACCATATGAGTCTGCCAGGGAAGATGTGGAGGACTCTGGGCAGGGTTCAGACTCAGAGCAGTGGGGAGGACTCAAGGCAGTTTGTTCCTGATGCCAGGCACAGAAGGGCAGAGAAACGGAAGCAGCAGTGTGGAGGCAGACTCAGAGACAATAATTAAGCCCAGGTGGTTGTGGCTTGGCCCCTCCCAAGAGAGTATATAAGTAAAGAAGTGGGGAGGAGTCATTTCCAAGACACAACCGTTTGAAACTGTATTGGAATACTCTGTCTGTCATGTATCTGTGCCTGTTGGATTTTCAACTAGTCTTGCATGTGAGTCGTGTCTGGGCCTTCAGCCAAAGGAGTTGATAAAGCCGTGATTAAAGAGTGGCAAACAGCCAAGCCTGTGTCTGGGTGATTTGCAGGTCGGAAGGGGTCAGAACAGGTGTCCATTTGAAGTCTTGAGATATTATAGAACCTAGAAAGTTGAAAGTTCTATCTA